CTCTCTCGTCTCTCTCTCTATCTCTACTCCTTCTCCATCCTCTCTCTCCGTAGTCCTCTCTCCTCTCTCTCCTCTCTCTCTCCTCTCCTCCTCTCTCCTCTCTCTCTCCCCTCTCAGCAACAAGTTAGTTATAGAATTATTAAGGTCTTCCTGTGTTATCACCTATAAATGACCACACAATGTGGTGTGTAATAGCATGTTAATATATCAGAATTCAGCCTTATCTCCCCCTACCTCCCTGCTGTTCCCAGCACTGCCTCCATGCTGTTGTTTTGCATTCATTTTGTGCATGACGTCGTACCACCACAGTGCATTTCACCCCAAACATGGCTGATGTTCACTGCAGAGATTGAGCCAAAATGGCTGCTTGACCCCAAATGTCTGGCTTTTTTTTATTCCGCCCTCCTGTCAGTCCCCCTCCTGTCTGTACTCTACGTTCATTTTGTTTCTCCTCTACAGGTCTGCATGTTTTCATCAACCCGCTGTTTCATTCCTGCAGAAATCCCTAAAAACCACAGTTTGCTTCATCTGAACTCTGCAGACCCCAGAATATGTTTCTAACAAAGTTTAAAGTAAAAATAAATTGGCTAAATCAAACTTTAAAGGTCTGCTCTTGAAAAAGGGGTTCTGGTGATTCAGACTGAGGTTAATGTGAAACAGGAACTGACCCTTTTTATATCTTTTATCACCAGATTACTCAAAAGGATTTGGAGGGAAATTCGGAGTCCAGAACGACCGCATGGATAAGGTGTGTGTGTGTGTGTGTGTGTGTGTGTGTGTGTGTGTGTGTGTGTGTGTGTGTGTGTGTGTGTGTGTGTGTGTGTGTGTGTGTGTGTGTGTGTGTGTGTGTGTGTGTGTGTGTGTGTGTGTGTGTGTGTGTGTGTGTGTGTGTGTGTGTGTGTGTGTGTGTGTGTGTGTGTGTGTGTGTGTGTGTGTGTGTGTGTGTGTGTGTGTGTGTGTGTGTGTGTGTGTGTGTGTTGTGTGTGTGTGTGTGTGTGTGTGTGTGTGTGTGTGTGTGTGTGTGGGTGTGTGTGTGTGTTGTGTGTGTGTGTGTGTGTGTGGTCGTTTTGTCTTACATATTTTTTTACATCTCAGAGCGCGGGGACTTTTGAGGTAGTGGACAAGCCGACCTCATCTTACCAGAAAACCAAACCTACGGAGGCCGGTAAGAGTTCATCATCATCTGTGTTTGAGTCACAACTTTATTCAACGTGTGAAATGAACTCTCCTTTGGACACATTATGAGACGATGAGCAATTGGACATATGAGCAAAACACACATTTTATGTTTCTTCGTGGATGTTTGTAGTTATTCTGTGTCTCTTTGTAGATGTTTTACAGCTCTGTCGTCTTTGCATTTCCTTCTAGAGATTATATTCCTCGTTGTTGTTGTTGTTGTTGTTGTCATATCTCCCTATCATCCATCCATGATAATGACTCCATTTCTTCCCTCTCCAATCCCCCCCTCATCAGCGGCCAACAGCACAGGAAACATCAAGGCTCGCTTCGAGAACATCGCCAAGCAGAAGGAGGAGGAGGACAGGAAGCGAGCGGAGGAGGAGCGAGCCAAGCGCCAGGTGAAGGAGAAGCAGGAGCAGGAGGAGGCGCGTCGTAAAATTGAGGAAAGGCCCAAATCCCCGTCTCCCAAAGCCCCGTCTCCCAAAGCCCCGTCTCCCGTCCCAGCTGCGAGTCCCAGTCCCTCCCCCAGCCCGACCCCGCCAGTGCAGCCCGCCGCCCCCACATACCAGGTGAGACTCATCGAATTATCCCAAAAGAAGTGCCTATTGCAGCCTTTAGAGTTTTGGTTTTATGAAGAAAATAGCGCTTTCTGAACGTGTGGAAAAAGTCCAGTTTTGTGTAGAATGTTTTTGGGAGTGCGTTTCAGGCCATTTGGAGTCGATTGGTGTTGCTTTTGTGACTACGATAGATTTTGGAGATGGGTGGGGTTAGGTTAAGGGGCTCTTTACCACTTGGAGTCGTGTTTAACATTTTAACATCTCGCGCTACGAGGTGGGCATCCATATAGTTGTCGATTTTCTTGGGTAAACGATGACCTCCTAATATCATTAGCAGCCGTAAATTAGTCATCGCTGAAAAATGAAATTAAACTGTTTATCTGTTTGTGTTGTCAGAACGCAGAGGAGGTGTACCGACATGATGCTGCTGGAGAGGAGAAAGGAGAGCAGGAGAACCAGGAGGATCTGTACCAGAACCCAGAGGAGACGACCGCCACACCAGAAGCAGCAGCAGGAGGTGAGAGATCAGTTAGAATTGGTGGATGAAACCCTCGTTATTGGCCACACATGTTCATGCACTCGGCACACTCAGTGACATTTGTTCACCTCTTTTTACCCATCAGAGTAAAAAGAGGTGAACCTCGCTCCATCTCACTCTCACTTTAAAGGTCCCTATTATGCAAAATCCACTTTTTCATGTCCTTTCTACATAACCATGTGTCCCCTCTGTGGAAAGAGATTCTGAAAGTTTCAGGAAAAAAGATTCTCTCTCTTTTTGTCCTGATACATTTATATAAATCTGAAAATGAGCTGATCAGATTTTGGCCACTTTATGATGTCATCACGATGTGTTGGCTTGTGTAACCATTAGCCAATCACCAACCAAGGTAACCCCCCCCCCCCCCCCACCTTATCACCTGAATCTCCTCCTAGAGCACCATTGTGTTCTTTTTAACCAAATCTCTCTCAGAGGGGCGTGGGGAGGGGCTCCTTATTTTCATCTAAAGTAACAGACAGAGAATCAGCACTTTTGAAACAGGGCTGAAACAGAGGGGTTTATGGGATGCTGCAAAGATCTGTTTGGTGTTTGGAGCCAAACACTTCAGAGACATGTTCTGTATATATCTGAGACCTATAATATATTGATGAAAAACAGTATCATAGGGGACCTTTAAGATAAACTTCTCCACATATGTGACCCGCTCTATCGAAATCTGTCGGAAGGATGGGAACGTGGATTTGTGTAAAAAAGTAGTTTGTCGGGGTTTGTGTGTTTTGTCTGATTTTAAATAAACAAAGTCTTGGCTTTCAGAATATGAAACTTTTATTGCCAACATCACACGATAAATACATGTTTGAAGCTTGAGTCGCCACTCTGCTCTTCCTCAGCGCCGCCCCCCCTCCCTCCCGCTGACATTATGAATGTAAGGCGTATAGTAATCATAGATAACACGGCAGGGTCCGTTACAGTTTGTTTTCATCTGATTTCAAATAAACAAAGTCTTTCAGAATATTAAACTTGTTTCGGCAAATTCAGATGATAAATACAACTTTGAAGCTTGTAACGGCATAATTACAAGTGGAGAACGGAGTAACTTAACGTCACAGCAGGCATAACAACAGCCGGTGTTTCTCGTGACTGTTTTCCCCGGGAAACAAACACAATACACACAAACGCAAAAATACACACACACACACACACACACGAGATTCCCCCAGAGCAGTAATCCAAACGAAAATATCTTCCCTCCGTACTACTTTGATCATTTATTAGCCGCTAATAATCAATCAGCTCGATGGATTCCAGAGAAGAAGAAACTTTGAAGGCCTTTTTCTCAAAATGATGACTCGGTGACAGTCATTATATCATGTGACATATTTTGCTTAATATTTGGAGTACAACAACAATCCAGATATCATTAGGAAGCTAGGAATCTCCTCTTTCCAACAGTGGATACAACTCAAAATGTGTCTTCGGGTCAATGCGACTGATTTCGAAAGAGCAAGTTACATATGTGCTTGTAGATTGAGTGTCCTTTCTTTGACTAATACTCACGTGTTCCTCCTTCAGACGGTCAGTTGGAGTACGGAGAAGACGTCGGGGTGACGGCGGTCGCTCTCTACGATTACCAAGCAGGTGAGACTGAACGCTGGGAGCAGATCAGACAGAGTGCACTGGTCGTTGTTATAGTCTTATTCTTTACCCCTATAAATACTATACTATTTATCTAATATATCATATTCCAATTCCTTGTATATAGACTCTTCTTGCACTATTTCTATTCTATTTTATTTGTTTGCACTAGTTTATCTGTTTCATTGTGTTGCACTGTTGGAGGAGGAGCCTGTGACCTCAGATTTTCATCGTCATGACTACACTGTAGCTATGTAGGCATGACCAATAAAAGCCTTGAACCTTGAATTCATGATTCAAAGGTTTAATTGTCATACGCACAAAAGCAGCAGTGTAGTTGTCGGCAATGGAAATGAATAATTAAAGCCCCACGCCCTGCCAACAGTGCAGCATTAAAGGTGGGGTAGGTAATTCACTTCAGAAACACTTTTTGTTATATTCCATGGAATGCTCTTAACATCCCGATAGCAATGAATACATTAAATGCTTTGACAATAAATACATAAAAAAATGTAATCTGTGGAAGCCGTAATACTGTAAAAAGCACGACCAATCATCTGAGCCGGCCTGGCTAAAATAACTGGATGGCCTACCTGCCTGTCAGCCTTCCATCTGTGCACAAACTTATCTCGTGCCCTCATTGGTCATGTGCGCGTTCGTGTGTGTTGGAGGAGGGGCTCTGTAAGGAAGTCTAGCGCACTCTCCATTCTCACCTACCCTACCTTTAAGTCATAAACGTATTTATTACTTACTTAATATGACAGGTGCACTACAGGACCTGCAACAGTAACGTATTAACATTTAAAATCACTTTTTAAATATATATTTGTATTTACTTGCACTATTTTATCTGTTTCATTGTGTTGCACTGTTGGAGGAGGAGCCTGTGACCTAAGATTGTCATCGTCATGACTACACTGTAGCTATGTACGCATGACCAATAAAAGCCTTGAACCTTGAATCTTGAATCTGAAAAATACATTGAGGCCAAATGTTTTCCCTTTTCAGCCGGCGAGGACGAGATTTCCTTCGACCCCGACGACATCATCACGAACATTGAGATGATCGACGAGGGCTGGTGGCGAGGCGTCTGCGGAGGAGCGTACGGCCTCTTCCCCGCTAACTATGTGGAAGTGAGGCAGTGAGAACAAGGAAGGAAAGAGGAAGGAGATGCCCCCTTTTCACACCTCTGTCTTCAACTCATCGTACTGCAATATCCATAATCTTTTGCTCCTTTGCCATCCTTCCACCTTTCCCCTTTGGATGAGTTACCTTTACTCGATGCAAAGAGAATATATTAATAATGATCTGCTCAAAATGCAACATGTGAGTGATTCACCTCCTGCCTCACCGTTGCATTTTGAAGCTTATATTTTCATATTAGAGTCAAGGTATTGTTGCTTCTTCACACACATCTACCGTTATGTAAGCAGTAGAAGGTTAAAGTGGGGAATTTAGATTATACTCTTATGCCGACATACTGTCCGTGGACCAAAACAACTGAAAAACCCCTTTAGTGTGTCTGCGTAAAGTTAGCAGGAGTTTAAATTCCCTTTCTTATTAAACACTAAACTTCATTTAGTACAACTTCTTTCTCCTTTTCTTGCAACGTTATTATAAAATCATGATAATAATAAAGTTTCCTACTATGCTGAATTGTTCGCAAAATAATGGGGCCAAAATCACAAGCGTAACAGAAATATTTCGTACATAAAGTATTATTTTAATCATCTTCAAACATTATGTACGTACAGAGAGAAAATGATTTATGGCGCTTTGAGAACAAATGTGTGTGTGTGTGTGTGCTTGGGAGTGTTTCTTCGTGTAATAATATGTTGAATTGTGAGAATTAAAGATTAGAAATGTATATGAGGCTGTTTAGGGTTTATTTTCTCCAAACACTTATTAATTATTTCAGACTGTTTTGCAGTAGTGTAGCTTAAACAAGTATGTGTGTATGTCTGAATGTGTGTGTGTGAGGGTTTCATGAAATTCATCTTCGGGGTTTTTATAATGGAAAAAAAAGTGACCTTTTCAAATGCATTATTTGTATTGTCTGTACTTCTGTTTGCTCGACACATCATTACCTGCTTGTTCTTTTTTTTTAGTTTCAATAAATAAAGGATATGAATTGTTCTTGCTTGTTTCTGCGGCCCTTATTTCAAGGACCTACTGTACAGCTGTTAATGAACATTACTGTCAGTTTTGAAAGTTGTTTTTTATAACAGCAAAAAGGGGAAACAAAAGTTATAGTAAGTAGAAAAAAAGCAATGGCATAGTACGTCTTAAAGTCATAGTATGTCGTAAAACAGTTATTAAAAGTCAAGGTCCAGTATGTCATTTAACCTCCTATTGTCTTCGTTTCCCCCCCTTACTTTAGTGTTCGCGGTCAAATTTGACCGGTCCTGTTTTAACTGCTATTACATTAACACAAAAAACATTCATTATCACCAAATTTCATTGAACACCCTTTCAAACTGTACATATTGTATCAGACTACTGGTATACATGAACAACTGCAGTACATATACAAAGAATAGACACTGAACATGTATTGCGTGTGCCAGGTGTGATCCATGTGGGGGGAGGGGCACATAAGGGGGGGGGGGGGGAAACACATCTAGTGTATGTTTGTGCGTGTGTGTTTGTGTGTGTGTGTTTGTGTGTGTGTTTTATCTGATCCGGATGGTTACTAATTCCTTTTCTTTATGGCGGTCATTTTTGACTGGGAACACCATGGGTGTTACAAAGTTGACTAAATCATCCAAAACTCAATGAAAGTGGTGATCAGCAATTTTATATATTCAAATGTCTACTGTGAAGGATATCATAAAACCTTAATGCAATCGAATGTAAAACAAAAAAGTTATGATTGATGAAAGTAGTAAATCGGTCAGATTTGACCCGAACACAACGGGAGGGTTAAAGGTTGGGAAAGCATGTTAAGAAAGGTGAAAAAAGTCCTAGCATAAGATGACGTTACTTCAATCAGGAGAGACGGTTTTGATGTAAGAATACATATTTATTGCCAGGAATGCACAAATGGATGTAATGGAGTTTTGGCGATTAGGCCCCGTTGTGCAGGAGTATCATTCGGGAGCGGAGAACCGATCCGATCCGACGATTAGTGCCGGTGTTGTGCCAAATGATGCACCCCCGTCATGAAATGCCCCCCTTGTCACGGGAACGCGCATTTCTAAATGACACGTTTACACCTTAAAACGATGTTTAAAACGAAAAGTAAACGTTCAGGGTTTTTATTAATGGTAATTTTCAGACTGCGAGTTGTTTAGTGGTAGCTCATATAGTCTTGATTCTTGTGGTTAAACTTTTCGCTCCGTATTTGATGGTAGTGGTGTTGAAATTCATTCGTCACTTCCTTTTCAGTTTTTTTTTTAAATCTTTTTTTTTTGTTATTATTGTTACGTCCTGTCTGTATACACGTGCTTTAAAATGTATTGTTTAATTTTACATATTTGTCATATAATAATCAAAATATATGTTTACAAATGTTACATAGTCTTTGTCAGCATATTTTTAAGGGGGGCATTTCATGACGGGGGTGCATAATTTGGCACAACACCGGCACAGTACTTGGTGTGAAAGCGGCTATAGACGTAGTAAATGAATGAGAAAAGACGGTCTTCCTGGTTGAACTTGCGCTGAGCTTCATAAATCATAGTAGCCTATGTCGTAATAAAGTAAAACAAATTCATCGTATAGTATGTTGTAATTATTTTCAAAATAAGCCATAGTATTGTGTGAAAGTTATAGTATAGTATGTCGTAAAAAGGTTTTTAAAAAGTCATAGTCCGGTATATTGAAAAAAGTACTATAGGCTACTATATCGTATAAAATCATAGAATGTCGTAAAAACAGTAATCATATAGTTTGAAGTAATAACTACGAAAAAGTCGTACAATATTAAGTTGTAAATTAAAGAAAAGTGGTAAAAAAATGTACTAAGTATTGCAAATGTTTCATTTTTAAATCATAATACAGTATTTTGTAAAAAATCGAAATGTAATAGGATGACTATATTCTTTTGCAAAATAAAATAATAAAAAAATATATATATTTAGCTGAATAAATGAATATAAAACGAGAGACATGAAAGACAGAGGGATACAACACTAGTGCAATATTATATTTATTTCTTACAGTGAATTTTGGTTGCCATACAAGAAGTCTCGAGGATCTGAGTGGGGGGTGGGGGGGGGGCGAGGGGAGGAAGAGTGCAGTTACAGGAAAACTCTCTCTTCTTCATCATCAGTAATTAGTTTGACTCTATGATGATTCAGTAGCACAAAATTACAGCAACATAGATAACATGAACACAAGTGTCTGCACAAATTACCGAAGAAATCTTAGCCTCTATGAAGACTTAACCAAAGAATAAAATCTATTCATGAGGAAATTAAGAAAGAATAAAACCCCAGATGTTGGACGAAGATGGGGGTGGGATCAGTGTTTTGAGGGGGGGGGGGGGGGGGGGGGGGGGGGAGTGGTGAAGCTTTTTAAAGATTGTTTGTTACTACATCTACTCAGCCACCACTAGTCTTTTTGGTGGATTTATGTATGTATACATATATATACATTTCATATAATTTCCTAACAAGATGGCCAGCATGTATATCTTAAAAATAATTTACACATTTTTGCTCTTTTTTAAAAACACACACTCTAAATTCAAGGGGGAGATGAGAGAAGTCAGGCAGATGTTTGTCCGAAGATACCTGGATAAATATTCACTTTATCATCCAAAACATATCTTAAAGGGGACGTATCATGGGCATCGTGGACTTAATACTGACAACTTTTACTTAATTTAAGTTGTATTACTGTAATGTATAAACACAAGTCCTGCAGTGTAATAGTAGTGCATTATAAGTGCAATATGTGCCTCTGAAATAGTAGTGTTAATGTATGAAGTAGCAGATAAGTACTTCAACATTTCAATAAAGTATAATATCAATGCTCACCACTGCCGGGTCAGAAAACGACAGGATGTCACATTCAGAATTTAGCGCCTTTGGACGCCACCTATTTCTTGCGAGCCAATCAAAACAAGTCTTTCTTTATTAGTTGTTCTTAAAGCGACTGGCGTTAAAATGTAGTGTTTCAAACAGAGAGAGAATACAGTTGTTTTCAGACTTCTAGTATGTCTTTTTTTGATCATTAAAGCATGTAAACATGTTCTAGTAGCAACCCAGATTACAAATCTAAACGTGAAAATGAGCACGATATGTCCCCTTTAAGTATCAACTTACGTCATCACTTCATTCATTAAAACACTGACACTTGATCATGATATGTAACTTTAAAATGGGAAAATAAAACACAACCAAGGAGATTCATTCAGAATAAATATTGCTTCTTACATAACCCATAAGTCTAATAATAATAATAATAATCATAATAATAATAATATCCACGATTTTTATCTATATAGTTTTTTTTTGGCAATCCACGCGTCAGTGTTGAACAGTCTTTGTTCAGATAACCTCTATAAAATGTCATAGAACTCTATACAAATCTTTAAAAATACTGTGCTTTTCTACCCCCGTCGACACGTCGCTGTTTGCTCTTAAAATAAGTTTCATGTTCAAACAGGAACAGGATTATAGCAGCATTGTCCCGTGCTAATGTTCACAGAACACAGAGCTTGTGTATGTCTCATTGTCTCCTCGAAAGTGTGATATGAAACCTAAATAAGGGTGAACTTCTAAAACAATATATATATTTATTTTCAGACGTTGGGTTACTGTAGCACATATCGAACCACACGTGAGGTGCGCTCTGAAAGAATCTACTTTGAGATGAAAACACAAGCTCCTTTTTCTTTATGGAGCTAAACACTGGACAGTGGTGCAGGTACAGTGAGGGGGGGGGGGGGTTTGTGAGCGTATTTAAGGCATCCTTTTTAGGATGGGGGGGCAAGCGAGACCAGGTCAACTCTGGCAACTATAAATCAATCTTCATAGAATTTTTTTGTTTTACTCTAAACCTTTTTTAATAGAGCTATACATATAATCAAATAGACATTTTATTATCCTGTTAAACACTCTTATATACACGTTTCAACACATACTGTACTTCTACTCCAGCCATTTGCTAGCAAACACACACATTTCCAGCTTTATAAATGCTGATTTTGTTTGAAATTGGACCCTTAAAATAAAGTTTAAATCCCTTCTCTACTGCAGGGAGACAGATAAGAATAAGGGACTTGGAGAAGCTTAGTTACAGCGACTGAAGTTCATCTGCAACGGATCAGAAAACACTTTCTATCCCTTTGTAATCTCGCGCTGATGAACATCTGCCGCCTCTTTCAGGTTGCTCTCTGCTTATTTTCTGCACAGAGGAAATGTGGACTTACGTGAAATCGTAATTTGACATAAAACCCTGAAGCTGCAGAATCTCCATCTGCTCTTAAAGCTTCGGGAGATTTCACGCCATGTGTTTGGTGTTTGAAGTTGTCTTACAAGGAATAAAACTTGTTGATGTAAGGGGCGCCAGTGTCTGCAACTGCTTTGTTAACGCGGTGTTGCATTTACCTCCTTCTTCACGATAAGAAAACACTCTTTCGAAGGCTGTTTCGATCTAAGACAGTATTTCCCTTTGACTTTTCCCAGTTTAGGATGCTTGTTTGGGATCTAGTTGAAGTTTAGCTCAAGTTAGCTTAATGCTAACAATTCTGTTCTTAATCTCATCGCTCATTTTTTAATAAACAACATATAAAATGTTCAGGTAGTCATTTAGCTATATAGGAAACAAGTAATTCATCTGTTAAAACTGGAGTTTTAGCTCTTAAAATGTCAACCTGTGAGTTATTTATAATTAGGTTGCTTATAAATTGTGTCATTTAAAATAGTTGAAAGCTAAAAATGCCTCCAAAAGGGTTTAACACTGGATTCAAAGTCAATAAAATGCTATCGAGCGACAGCCTTAAAAAGTTGGACAGAAGAAAACGCTTTTTCATTTTTTTGTTGAGAGTTTGATGAGATCAATCTGATGTGAAAATGGAGCTAAGAGACGATTAGCTTAGCTTAGCTGTACCAGTCAGAGTAGTGCTTTGAGCTAAATGTTAAATAACCGTAACAACCTTTGCCAATGTTACTGTACAATCTGGTTTCACTTCCTGTTACCCAAGTGGGCAGATTTGGTGATATTAACATAATGTTTAACTAACTATTAGATATTAACAGCTAACAGCCAGATTTAGCATTACAAAAAATAGCTAGCTAGGGAGTTGGCAAACTTTGTTGACGTTCTTGCAATAGGCAGAGACAAAGCTCATTTAATCCTCATTTGTCCGCCTGAAAAATGCCATTTTACTGTCATTATGTTCAGAAGATATGTTGCTTTTGACAAATGGGTTCAATATTTAAAGATATACCTGGTTCAACAACTCAGTTCAGTGCATTAGCATGCTAACATTTGCTAGTTAGCACTTGCAAAGCTAAATAGGGATGTCAACATTTAAATTGATTACATATTTTAATGTTGACTTGATTGCATGTAGATAAATGGTTTTAATCAAAACAAATCTGCTAGTTAGCTTTTTAGCAAGCAATAGCAATTGGTGCCATTATTAGCATAATTTATTATACACACAGACATTGGTGTATTATGAAAGAGGAAGCGAAGGTAGGTGCTTTTGAGCTGCACGGGCCAATCAAAACGTTGTGTGGATGCAATCAGTCAATCTGATTTGAGTATTTATGCTAAGCTAATCGTCTCCAGCTTCATATTGTGTGCAGACACGACAATGGGGTCAGTCTTCTCATTAAACTCGTGGCAAGAAAGCGAATAAGCGTATCTCACATGTCTCACTGTTTCTTTAAATGCTCTCTTTAAAAAACCTCATCTTCTACCACGTACACACAGGTGTTTGATACATTAGCGTTACCGCGGGGCCACATGAGTGTCGACCTGCTAATGGTGAAGTGGAAGGAGATTCGACAATGGAGAAGAAAGTAAAGTAAAAAAGTAAAGAACAGCTCTAGTTTCTCTATACTGTGGCCTATATATAGCGGATCTGTGGAAAAAAGCTAAACTGGCCTTCAGGATATTTTGGGTCAACCAGTGACACACTCATACACACACACACACATACACACACACAACTATAAGGTAAAGAGGGACAGGGACGCCCTTTGCAGACAGACAAACCATTTCAAGGTGAGAATTATTCTGGTACAACGTTTGTCTGTCCGTGTTGTTCCTCGTGTCCTTCGCTCGGTTTTTCTTGTACGCTGGGTTATCACCTCTCTCCACGCGTTGCTCTCTCTCAGGAGAAGAAGGCCATCGCAGTAACGGTGTGTGTACATGCTTAGGGTGTGAAGACAGTGTGTATTCTCGTGTGTCAGTGTGTGGCATTGTGCATAAAGTGTGTGTATGTGTGTGTGTGCATGGAAATTTACTATTTATTCAAACACGTCAGCTAAAGTTCTTATTTTGACACAAACAAGTGAAAAGCAAAAAAAAACATGGAGTCTATCTCAAATTGTTCTCTACAACCTTAGATGCACCCAGAAATATAACTCCGGTTGGACTCTAGTGAAGAAATATTATCTCTGAACAAACTCTAGCAAAGATAGAAAAGGAGCAACGACCAGCTCAGCTGGTTTCATGCACCCACTGCGGGTGAATGGAAAAAGTTTTCAGTATTCCAAAGCAGGTGTCAGCACGAGTCTGTGTGTGAAATAACTTCCAGACGGGTATTTTTCCAGCGTTTGAGAGATTCCAGAGTTTCTGTTTTCTGGTCAATCCTTCCTTGATGTGACATAGCAGCGTTTCTCTTCTCTCCCCCCTCAGTTCAAGAAGAGCACTGAGACGAGGGAGGACGAGAGAGGACAGCAGGAGGCAGCATCAGCTCGGACCAAACTTCTTGAGATAACGTCTGATGGAGATGGAGACGGAGAGTCGGGGATGTTTGACCCCTGTTTCCCTCCCTCTCCTCAGCCCCCCCCCCCCCCCCCCCTCTCCTCCCCTCGGGGTTTATCTGTCCTGCAGCAGCTTCAGGGCCCTCTCGATGTTCATGCGGTGTCCCACCCTGGTGACGCCCAGGTCTATGAGGTCTTCTTTCTGCAGCGACAGCAGGTGTGCGCCCTCGATCTCGTTGTCCAGGAAGGCGTCGCGGTGCTCCCCCAGATTCAGACTCTCCAGCCAGTCGGCCACGTCCAGTTTGCTCCACAGCTCCATGGGTTTGGAGGCGAAAGGTTTCCCAGACGCTGCCACGGCCTGAAGGAGAGTGAGAGGAGACGGGGAGCGAGAACTTCCACTTCCTCCACACGAGGAACTGAGACTGTAGCCCCCGCCGCTGCCCATGGGGGGGGTGGGGAGGCCGAAGACGTCGGTGAGGGAGGGCGAGACGGAGGGAGGCAGGGAGGAGCAGGGCGTGAGAGAGGAGGCGGAGTCAGGGGGGCTGCAGGGGAGCGTCTGGGAGGGGAGGCTGCTGGGGGGGGGCGAGGCCATGGGGGTCGCCGCATCACGCATCCCTGAGTCGTCTGCTGGAGGCCTGGGGGGGGGGGAGAGAGAGAGAGAGGGGAAGTTAGTCAAAGTCAAAGTCAAAGTCAACTTTATTGTCTATCTTTCAGTTTGTGTGTACAGACAGATCGAAATTCCGTTTCCCACAATCCCGAATACAAAAACAAATATATATAAAAATATGTATACAAATATGTATAAGAAAGTAGAAAGAAAGGGAGGTGATAGAAAACTATTTCTGCTAAAATGTTAGCAATGATTGAGAGTCAGACCTAAACATTTCAGATGTGTGTATCTCACACTGCTCTGTCACTTTTAATCATGTATCTTTGCTTTCAAATTTGTGCTTTGAAATGCCATTTCATAATATGTTTCCTAATGTCTTTCATTTTTGTAAAGCACTTTGAATTGCCTTGTGTTGAAAGGTGCTATATAAATAACCTTGCCTTGCCTAAAGCTTTTTAATTATTTCTTTATTTGAAATATTGCATTGTTTTGCATATTTCTTTTTGAATGAAATAATTCATTCAACGTTTTTCTGACATTCTCTCACACACTGCTGAGAACAAATATGTAATTGCTCCTCAGCTGCGAGATGTAAAGGGCAGAGCTAAATATATATTTGTACATACTGTATAGGCGCAAAGTTTAATTTATTTGTAAGCACATTATTATATTTGCAATTTCTACATGCAACATAAAATGAGGTGGTTTGATATGCCTGGTTTATGGCAAATCCGGGAAAACACTGATTGCCATTTCCCCTCTTTTCTGACATTATATAACCCCAATCTACAAGGGAATAGACAGATTAAAGGACAATGCAAATAGTCTTTTGCAACCCAGGTCTGGCACTATTTTCTGCGCAAGCACTTTAATAAATAAAAATAAGAACGAGTTGGCCGGCTGGAAAATAAGAAGCATTTCTAAAGACATATGGGATCCTTCAAATGTAATATAGAGATGTTATGATGAGTTAAGATGGAAGAATCTTTGTTTTTAGTTCAGGAGTCCTGAGAGACTAAAACAACAGATAAAGATCTATCATTTCATTTCTTTAAGGGTTTAATAAGGCAATGCTGCAAAGTGAACAGTAGGTGGCGCCACATGCAAACATTTCTACCCAAACTGCATCAGCTGATACTCAAGATGTCAAACCAGGACTCGGCTTTTTAGGTTTTAATCTCTATCAACACGTTATTTACAGCATAATAAAAATGTGCACCTCGTAGTGTGATTAACATAATACATTTATTTGTAATGGTGTAAATACAAAATGCTGTATCCCTGTTGATCAGGGGTGTCACACTCAAGGCATACACTTCATTTTATGTGGCCCGCAAGAGCTTGCAAAGAATATAATACGTTTATTATATGGTCACATGCCACTGTACAGAAGCAGGTTGCCCATAAACTACATGTCCCACAATGCATCTCATTTTGTGACATGTGCACTGAAGAGACTTGCAATTATTGGCCCTAGACTTCTGCTTTCAGACGTAGTTATTTATGAAGTTATTACCCTATCCGATAATAATCCAATGCAGAGGCAATAATGTCATATATTATTTTATGTATATTATATATAATATATATATATATATGTATATTTATAAAGTTACAACCGGCCCTTTGAGTGCAACCATAATGCTGATGTGGCCCGCGATGAAATTGAGTTTGATACCCCTGCTGTTGATTAAATACACTGTTAAGCATACTGATTATGTTTAGAGGGTACAGGTCACATTACTGGAACATTAATCTAATGATTAAAACTGTTTTATTAAAGTAGTCTACCCACACACACTCTGACATTTCACACGAAGGGCTAAAAAGATCAGACGATCTCAATTAGTGAAGTGTCTTTATCACGTGATGTGTGTCAGAATTTAGCATCAAATGTTAGGCCTTATTTATAATCAGGTACAAGGAATATGGAGTCAAATATACAGTATTCATTTCATTTTATTTCTATTTCATTTGTATTTAATTGGACACTTATTCGACTAATAATTATTGTGTTTATTGGACAATTACCTTGTTGTTTTTATAAAAATATCTTTATTTTTAATTTTTCAGCAACTATTTGTGTCTTAATTCTTTGCCTAAAACTAACTAGACATTTTTTTATTTAACATGAAAATTACAAATCAGCAGAACTTAAAAAGCAGCGTCTGTATTTTAAGTATTTTCTAAATCCGATAAAGCTGTTTCTGCTTTGTTTTTCCCTTAACTGTGCAGAACTTAAGGGGTTTTCAAGCCTATAAAGCAGTAGCATCTTAAAGCTGTGAGCATGTTCAATGTTTTATTACACGCATGTGATATAATGAGTGTAACAAAGACGTGCCGAGTGCCGCCTGCAGGTAGAGGCTACTAATGGAGGCATGTGTGCAACAACATCCTGTTTAGCTTTTATTCATAGCCCTTACAGTATGACGGTGAGCAGGATAAAACATTTATTTTGTTTATTTAGCATACTAACATGAGAAGGAAACATGTCTATGGTGTGTTTTGCTCAAAATACAAACAGATCATGAATTTTGACATCCCTCATATTCTCTATTCCAGCCCTGTTAGAGAAACGCAGATTTTGGGTCCTTAGTTTAAAAAAACATTCTACTGGAGATAAAGTTAAATTCTGCTGTGATAAAACGCCATCCTGTTCTAAACCACATCAAGGATTATTTCTGAAACAGCATGGAGCTCAAATGCTTTTTCTCTTGCAGGTTTATCACAAGGTGAGTTCCTTTTTTTATTTCCTGCTTTTTAAACACATGTGCTCTCCAGGTTAGCTCTGAGTGTTAGCGAGGCTTGCTAATGTAAACAAAGACGAGATTACGTCCAAAACACGTCAGGCATTGTTTCTGATAGTAACTTTCTGTGGGTCCACCATCAGAAATTACGTCATATCGGCAGCAAATCTGTATCCGCTCGTTGTAGCCCCGGTTTTAAAAGATTTGGGTACGGAGGAAAAGAGAGAGGGTTTTATTTTCTGACGCTGCGTGAGTTCCCTGACGCACCGGGGACACGTATTTATGTATAAAAGACATCAAAAAGTGCATTTTGCATGATAGGTCCCCTTTAATGCTAATTTCACTTATTTGTGCGAGTGAATGATACGTTCTGTTTATTTTATGACACTTAAAATGTATTCTGGTGCATAGTGATCATTGCAACAGCATTTATTCGCCCTTTTCAAGAAGAAACACTGAGTAATTCTGCACTCGAGTGTGGACAGTCTGTCACAGGATAAATCTGAGAGGATGATTAATGGGTCAGCAGAAAGGAAAGATAGCGTTCTGTTCTCAGTTTGTTTATCTGATGTTAATCTGGTTTTTGTTTTCTTTCTTTTTCTTGAGAAAAACACAAATCAACGACAAAACTAAGCTGTTAAGACATGATGATATAACATCCTCTTGTTTTCATTTGAAAAAGATCCCAAGACACAACAGAAAAACTACTATTGGGTATGAATTGACAATTTAAAATACAGCATGTTTAAAAAAAAGTTGGACTAATCTGCCGCTGAAAGTAGTCCCCCTTGTGTAACCTTAAAAACGATTTGAGTGAAACTACATTTGTGATCTGATTTCAAAATGTACATCTTCATTAGGAACGAGAAAGATTGGACAGGAAGTCACAAAAGAGTTGAGAGGTAAACATATTTTTAGTTTTAGTCTCATACCGGGATTATTGACAATCAAACGTTAAGGTAAATTCGATTTTAGGGTTTTTAGGGCGACTCAGAGTGACATTTAAAACCAATGTTACAAACCCTTTGTGCTATGCTGTTGGGATTCGACAATGCTTCTATATGTCTTAAACATTTTTGGGTGTTTTTAAAGATAATTTAAGACATTTATACCAATTCAAGCCTTAGGACTTTGTTTTAGATTTTTTGACATTTTATGTTGAATTAATCTGGAGGATTTAACATTTAATATCATTTGATGGATATGAAGTGTTTGTATTTTGATAACATAAAACCCAAATGTTTTTGTTATCACTACATTTTGCAGGTCGAATTAGCAAAAGGCGAGAAAGTCCCACCACCACGTGCAAAAACACACAGAAAGAGTGTATTGTGTGTGTGTGTGTGTGTGTGTGTGTGTGTGTGTGGGAGACATCTCCCTCACATTATCTTCTGCCCCAGATGGAGGTGTGTGATGGATGTGTTGATATATGGAGCATTGAATCACACACACACACACACACACACACACACACACACACACACACACACACACACACACACACACACACACACACACACACACACACACACACACACACACACACACACACACACACACACACACACACACACACACACACACACACACACACACACACACACACACACACACGCACACACGCACACACACACAGCAATCCATGCAGAATAATCACACCTTCCTCCCCCCGAGGATTTCCTTTCTTTTTGATTGATGAATGTAATAAAGTGACTCAATTGTCAACACACACTCCTTTAAATGTGACCTCACACACTCTTTAATAAGATGCTACATGTAGCCTAGATATCTCCCCTCACCACTTGTAGCATATGGAGCAGCCTGAGGGGAAGTGAAGGGGACAAAAGGGGGACGCTCTGCCAGAAATGGAACGGGGCCATTGTTACAGCGCCGAACTTACTTCTCAACACCAGCTACTCCACAGGAAGTCAAGTTGGATGGATGAGATGGAGACAAAGGACGTTAGACATTTGGTGAACACACACAAACACACACATGAGATGGAATAAAAAGAGGGGAATGCATGAAAGAACAACATATATTTAGGAACGGAGAACCATCTGTCCGCCTTCTGCTTTCACCAAAAAACAACTTTCATTTGCAAGAAATCTCGTATTGAAAATCAAGTTTTTAATCCTGTTAGCAGGTTAATATTTAGTATGCTCCAAGACAGATCATCAGGACTGCAACTTATTAATCTATTGCTGTTTATAATGTCATAGAATAAAGAAAAATGTCCGTCCCACCTTCACAAAGTGAAAGGTGACGTCTTAAATGT